GAGCATTATTGATGAGGTGGAAGATTTATAGACCATGTTAAGGATTTAGCTTAGTGGCAAGCTAAGGATTTTAATCTGAGTGATAATGTGATCAGTTTTTTTTTTTGTTGTTGTTGTTGTTTTAAATAGCAATTTTAGGTTCACAACAAAATTGACTGGAAAGTAGAGAGAGTTTGTGTTTTAAAATATTTTATTCTGACTTTAATTTTTCCTTTATGATCAAATATAATGATGCAGCCCTATAAAACCTTTAATTCCATATATTCCATTGAACATTGGGAAGAAATATCAGGTTACTTTCTTGATAAAACAGTGCTTCCCTCAACATTTAGAAACCTGTAAATCCATCCTTGCAAAGCCCTGTATATTTCTTTCCTCTGAGTGAAGACCAGTGTTTTATGTCTCTTGTTCCAAACACTGCCTATTATTTATTTGTTAGATTTCATAGGCACACTCGTTTGTTTTTTAAATGATTACTTGGGTGACACAACGAGAATGATACAAGAAGACTTAAGCAGAAGCAAGATTATTCAGATAGACCTTTGCAAACATTCAGGCTAGAAATGATGGTGACTTGAAATTAAGTAGTGTCATTGGAGAGAAAGTTATTTAAAAATAAATACTATGCTATATCAACTGTAACTGAAAAATCAATATTAAAAAATTGATAAAGTTCATGCTAGTAGTTGCAAAGATTTTGTATGGTCTCTGGCTTAGAATGTTGGCCTTGTTTAGTAGAAAGATAACTAATTAAAATAGGTGAAATTAGGTTCTAGCTATTGCCAATAAATTAAATACACACAAACAGCTTTTCATTGGTTAAAGAAGTGATGAGAGTCTTAATAAGATAATAGTAAGTTAAAACTACAGAAGAAGCTTTCATTAAGCAGCTGGTGAAAACAATATAATAATAAACCACTAATTATTAAATATTTTATATGATAATAGCAATACTTTTATTATAATTAATGCCTTTCCACAAAGTGTGGCATTAACATGTCACTGGTTTTGATTAACAATTTAATAGAATTTTCATTTAAATCACTTACAAAGATGAATAAGCTTTGGGAAAATTCACTTTTAATTTGAAATCAGAATATTTTTCCTCCTGAATAGAAAAGAAATCCCTGCCATTTGATAAGAATTCTCCATTTCATATTCTTTTCCCATATTCATTTTATTCTTCATTGCAGTTATTAGTGCATCATCATTTTTGGGAGTGATAATTATTCAGCTTTAAATGTGTCATTAAAAACATTCATTTATCAAAAAACACTTAAGCATGTTTTCCAGTCTACAAAGTTGACAGAATTTTACTATCTTTCTGAGTGGAACATATTGTATCATTAATGGCGATTACACAGGACTTTATGTTATGCTTGAATGGATTCATTTAAAAAATACCAGTTCACTTTTTGGATTCCACTAGCTCTCTTAAATAGTCTAAGAAAGTAATTAACAGAACAAATATAAGTATTATCTAACATCTCAATATGTTGACTTACACTTAAATGGACAGTTGTCAATAAAATTAAATTCCACAACACCACAAAATATAATGCATATTATAATTCTTTTTATTAACCTTTTTATTCTCTCACACAGAATGGTTATTATATATTTGAGTTTAAAGACGTATTCTTCAATCAGCAGCTATTTATATCCCTGCCATTTTGTTAGGCTGATAAGATAGTAAATTCAGGGTCAAATATTGGCTGATTATTATTCCTTAAATAATAGACAAATACTATGCATGTATGCCTATATACAATCACCCCCCCCCCCCCACACACACACACACACTTTGCTGCACAACAAAGATGGAAAGAATATACATGTAAATGAGTCAGGGTCTCCATTTCATTTAGTTCCTTTTCTGGAAATTTGTCCTGTTCTTTCATTTGGGACCCATTTGTTGGTCACTTCATTCTGGCTGCTTCCCTGTGTTTGTTTCTGTGTATTAGGTGAGATGCTATGTCTCCTGGACTTGGTAGAGTAGCCTCCTGTAGAATGTGTCCTGTAGGATCACAGTCTTCCCAGTCACTTGAGCTGGGTGCTCTGGGTGTGCCCCTTTGTAGTTGAACCTTGATTTCTGTTGGCAGGTCATTGGGAGGGATTGACCCACACACTGATTCTGCAGCAAGGACCAGCTGTGACTCTAGGGGAGGCAAGTGGTCTAAATTTTATAGGTGAGCAAGAACTGAGAAACTGAATGACTTGACTGAGATTGATTAATTATTGTCAGGTTCAATGTAATAATCCTGGTCTTTCAATAAATTCTCTTTCTATATTCCAAGATGTTATCATATGTTAATTTTTTTCTTTGAATAATTTTGCCTTGAATTTCCTTGTACATTTACTTAAGAAGATAAGACAATCTTTGGCAAATTATTTGTTATGATGCCTGTGACTTCTCAAAAAGACAAATCCAGAGTGTTTCTTTTTGCACTTGCTTATTTACTCATTGAATCAAATATGTGATGGAGATGAAATAGCACAAAAAAGAGGAACTTGGAGAATGTCATATTAGCATACTCTAATAACATCCTAATATGCTAATTAGACCGAACAGCAGAACAACCGTCCGGATGACCTTCCAGATGACCTTCCAGATGAAGCCAGGGCTGTGAGGGCCAGCTGAGGCAGGCAGGGCAGCAAGGGCCGAGCCACTTGCACTAATTTCATGCATTGGGCCTCTAAGTATATTAGTAATATGATAGATCTAGTGCATATTAATAATATGACAGATCTTAGTTGTATACTCTTTTAATATATCCAGTTACTGGATAATTCCCAGAGAGATGATTTGTGGGGATATTCTGAAGTGTAACATGATAAATGTCAAATTCTGAGTTTTCATATAGCTGTGTGGGTCACAGTATAAATTAAAACACTTTCCTGAAATGAGAAATGTCTTTTAAAAATCAAATTTATTCCAATAAACAAAACTTACTGTGAATTTGGCATGTATCACAAAGATTTTGTTATAATCAGCTGTCTATTATAATTCTTTCAGTGATGACTGGAAATTGAGTATTGAAACAGTAGTTGTCTGTTTTCTGTTCTAGTTGACCTGATGAAATATTAAAGCCATTAGTAATTACAGTTAATCAACATCATGAATTATTCTTACAGTTATTTAATCATAGGTTTTCTTTCATCACTGTATATGTTTTTTAATTTTTTCCTCCATCTCTTTTTCCCCCTGCATCTAATTTTCATTTTGTCTATTGGTAGAAATGTAAAATAATCTTACTATGATCATATCTAAAACATTATTAGTCAAATATGCTTTAAAAGATGTATCCCCAAACCAGCTGAAACCGGTTTGGATCAGTGGTAGAGCGTTGGTCTGTGGACTGAAAGGTCCTGGGTTTGATTCCGGTCAGGGGCATGTACCTTGGTTGCAGGCACATCACCAGTGGGAGGTGTACAAAGGGCAGCTGATCGATGATTCTCTCTCATTGCTGTTTCTAACTCTCTATTCCTATATTTTAAAATCAATAAAATATATTTAAAAAATAAAAAATAAAAGATGTATCCCCAAACCAAATACATTATGTAGTGAATCTTAATGATACCCACTGTGCTTTCCTCCCTCCCTCCCTTTCTTTCTCTCTCCCTCTCTTCCCCTTCCCCTCTTCCTTTCTTCTTTCCCTCTCTTTCCTCTCTTTCTCTTTCTGAGGAAAGAAAGGAAACAAGTTGTAAAAGAGAATTCTTTGAGCAAAAAGCAATTCTAATAGAACTATATTATGGGGGACTGCATGAGAAACAAAGGAGGAAAAGAATTGAGGGACAAGATGCCATGGATGGGTTTTAATGGTATAGTAATGAGAGACTCTTAGGACTTTAGAGATATTAGAAAATAAGAGAGCCTAGCTGGCGTTGCTCAGTGGTTTGAGCGTCAGCCTATGAACCAGAAGGTCACAGTTTAATTCCTGGTCAGGGCATATGTCCAAGTCGTGGGCTCAATCTGTAGTGTAGAACGTGCAGGAGGCAGCCGATCAATTACTCTCTCTCATCACAAATGTTTTTTTCTCTCTCTCCCTTCTTCTCTGAAATCAATAAAAATATATTAAAAAGAAAGAAAATAAGAGAGAACACCTGATTTTAATAAGTTGCTTTGTATTAATACTTAGATACCACTACCTTCAATCTCCTTGCTTACATAGTTTAAGAGTAAAAGCTGAAATTCTCACCTATCCACACATGTTTAAATATGATTTTGATCGGAGTGTGGGCTAGGAATATGGTTTTGTGAGTATAAAATTATTTGTTCATTTAATTAAAATAGGAATCTAAAAGCCAAATGTGTTGACATTAAAATTTTTATTGCCTTTTTATATCTAATTCTGCCTCAGTCATTAGGTCCCAGTTAAAATACTATAGTATGCCATACTTTTATATACATATGTGTATGTCTATATTTATACACATTTCACACCCATGTGGATATATACCTATCAGTGTATATTAAGAAATAATGGGAGGATAAGTCATGAAATAAATTCTCCCAAGTGGTTACACCATTTTCAGAGCCACTACAGTGTTAGAGAGTTTCATTTGCTCCATATCCTCCACTGGTGCTGTTAGTCTTTTTTATTTTAAATGTTCTGGTAAGTATGAAATGTTATATCATTGTGATCTTAATTTACATTGAATCATGCTGAGCCCTTTTACACATACCTATTTTCCATTCTTATTTCTTTTTTGTGAAATATCTATTCACTCTTTTGCCCATTGAGAGGGGGTTATTAGTCTACTTATTTTTGATTTGTAGGAATTTGTATATATGTACTCTGGTATCCTCTTATACTATTTGAAAACAACCAACATAAATAAAATATGATATATGATACACACATATATATATAATACTGATACAGTTAATATTTCTAAACTGGCAATTTCAGAAGAAAATTAAATTAGTATTTAAAACACAGACTTCATAGTTATAAATTTAAAACAGAAATTACATTCTATTCTGTTTTTGGTTTCAGGTGCAGTTAAAAACTAGCATTTCTAGTCAGTACGTAATTCGGGCACAACCAACCAATAGGTGCCTGTCTACACTGGAGTGTGCAGCTGTTGCTCTTTCCATCTTAGAGAAAAACAATCACATACAAGAGGTAGGTATGTCTTTGAAAGATTATATAGTTTTTGAAAATAGAAGTTTGATTAGATTTTATCTAGAAAAGTTAGAAATATATAGCTTGTTAAGTTTGTAGCTCAAGTGACAAGTATAATGTATCTGTGATATAAGTTTGTGGCCCTGGCCAGGGTGGCTTAGTTGGTTGGATCAGTCACCATTAGACCAAGGACCCATTAAAAGTTCAAATCTTGAAGGGAAAATATAATATTCTTTGTGTGTAGATAACTTTCTTTCCTTGCCCTGACCAGCTGGCTCAGTTGGTCAGAGCATCTTCTTGTATACCAAAAGGGTGTTGATTTGATTACAGGTCAGGGCACATAGGTTGGTTTAATCCCCAGTCTATTGATGATGTTTCTCTCTTTCCCTTTGTCCCTCTCCCTCTCTCTCTTCTTCCCTTCTTCTCTTTCTCTCTCTCTCTTCTCTTTCTCAAAAATTGAAAATAAAACCCCAAAGTAATAGCCTCATTCTCTTTGCTTTTGTCAGCAGTTATAGGAAAAGGATGTTTGACAATCAGACGTGTGATCTGGGAGGTACCAATAAGATGGTTGGTTAAAGTATGAGCAGAAGAAATGCAAAATGAAACATCCCAAGTTGCTTATTACTGCAGATGGCAAAAATGGAGCTTTCTTAGTGGGGGCACCCCAAGTCCAGCCTGTTCAGATCTAGCTATAATTAAAAAAATAAAAATAAAAGGTACATTCTTCTGAGAAACATAAAGGTATTTTCTCTTTTTTCCTTTGCCAACCCTTCCCCCCACTCATAATCTTTAATTAATGGCATCGTTATAGAACCTTAACATGATGGGGAGAGTAGTAATTTTTCAGCCTGTTCATTCTATAGAGGTAGGGCTCCTCAAAATAATAGCTTTCTTAGTCTGTTGATTTATCCACATCCTTTATTCTTGAGTAGTTTTTCGAACACTTGGAAGTTTAGCATGATAGGAGCTTTGAAGCAGGTTTGAATTAAAACTTCATCATTTATCATCATTATTTTTTGCCAGTGGGTAATTCTTGTAATCTCTTAATGCTTATTTTCTTATCTGTAATATAAGAACATTAGTTACCTCATAGTGTTGTGAGAATTAAATGGAATAAAGTGTAATTGCCTGACATCAAGCACTCAAAATAATTAATCCTTTTGCCCTTCCTTGTCCCATTGATAGGATTGACAAAATTTGAACTAAAAGTTGGTGATTTTCATCAGCTGCAATAATATTAACCAAGGTTTTCATACATTGGAAATCTTGAGTTTGGGAATCTCTTTTATTATAGAACTCCCTCTGTTTATGAAGTTTGACCTTATGAAGTTTTATAACCAGATGTGGCCAAGTTTTGTGCTGTAGCCCAAGTGCTTTAACTACACTCAGCACCAGCAGTTGGTAATTATGGCCCCTTGAAAACTCACTTTGTGCCTATAGACAAAAGGATTTACAAAACAAGGATTTCCCCTGAAGTAACCTTTTAAAAACTCTCTTTTTTGTTTTATAAATAGAAGATTTTCTTTGTTCCTGATATCTGGTCCATCTCTCATAAAGCTTCAGAGTGCCTCAGATACAATAAATATAATGTATAATTGAAGAAATCTGAAACACTGAAACACTGATACGAAAGTGTGTATGCAGCCCTATGCCTATTGCAACATTATTTACAAATAGCCAACATTTGAAAGCAGCCCAAGTGTCCATCAGTAGATGAATGGATAAAAAAGCTGCAACACATTTACACAATGGAATACTATGCAGCTGTAAAAACGAAGGAAATCTTACCTTTCCTACAGCATTGGTGGACCTGGAGAGCATTGTGCTAAGTGCAGAGAAAGATAAGTTTCATATGATTTCACTCATAAATGGAATCTAATGAACAAAATAAACTAACAAAATAGAAATAGACTCATAGGTAGAGAACAGACTAATTGTTAGAGGGGAAGGAGGTTGTAGGGCTGGGTGAAAAAGCAAAAGGGATTAAGCAAAAAGCCCCCACAAAATAGCAACACCTCATAAACTTGGACAATGACATAGTGATTACCAAAAGGGAAGGGGGGTAGGGGGAGAGGTAAAAGAAGATAAGGGGATAAATGGTGATGGAAGACTTGACTTGGGATGGTGAACACACAGTAAATTATGTAAATGATGTACTATAGAATTTTATACCTGAAACATATAATTTTATTTAATGTCACCCCAATAAATTCAATTAAAAAATAGGCTGATTTAGGCTCCAGTAACTTAAAAACCCAATATTAGAATGGCTAATCCAGCAACAGCGTATGTCTCTCTCACACTGCTTATACATTGTGATTGCCAGGGGATCTCTGCTCATTGCAGTCACTTAGGGAACCAGGCTGATGGAGGCACTATCTAGACATGTCATTCTATTTTCTTCAAGGAAGGAATAAAGGGAGGTGGTCAATCATATACTTCCTTTAAAGCTTCTGCCCAGACGTGGCATGCATTATTTGTGCTCACACTCCGTTAACCAAAGCGACTTATATAGCCATGCCTGACTTCAAAGGGGATTAGAAAATGCAGTTTGATCGCCGGGACCGGTTTGGCTCAATGGATAGAGTGTCGGCTTGGGGACTGAGGGGACCCGGGTTCGATTCCGGTCAAGGGCATGTACCTTGGTTGCGGGCATGTCCCCAGTGGGGGGTGTGCAAGAGGCAACTGATCGATGACTCTCTCTCATCGATGTTTCTAGCTCTCTATCTCTCTCCCTTCCTCTCTGTACAAAATCAATAAAATATATTTAAAAAAGAAAAAAAAAGAAAATGCAGTTTGATCATGTACCAGGGAGGAGTGGAACATTTATGACTAGTTCTAGTGACTGGCAGAGATATGGAGAGGGGATCTAATTCAGGTCTCTCTATCTCCAAAATTCATTCTCTGAATCACCACAGAAAATTAATAGACGCTTATGTTCAGGATGTAAAAGTTAGAGTCTCTTAACCAGAGGAATGTAGTATTCTCCTGTCTATGCAGAATTTAATAAATTCCATAAAATTGAAATAGAACCTTCAATTGTCTCAGTCTGTACATAGTCCTAGATATGTTTCCTAAGTACAGTGATGCAAAATCCAATCAGTCCACTGTGTTGACTCTGTAAAGTAATATATAGTCATCTCCAAATTTCCTGTCTTGTTTGAAGAAATTAAGATGTTAAAAGAAATTAAGATGTTAAAAGAACATTAGGGGCCCAGTGCATGAATTCATGCACCTTGAAAGGCGCATGGGCATGTCTTGGTCCATCCTTCTGCCCCCACCCACCCCCTCCCGCTGCTGCAGCATCTGACCCCCTCTCTACTGGCAGCCCCGCTTCCACCACTGCCGCTCCCACGTGCTAACGGCACCAGCCCTGCTCGCACCCACTGACAGCACAGAGCGATTGGGGCTGGCTCCAGCAGAAGTGGGAGTAGCAGCTGCTGCCCCCTTTGCCCTTCAGGAACAGGGGGAAATGGAGAAGCCCTCAGGGGCAATCAAGGCTGGTAGCCACCACTCACACCTGCTGACAGCACCGAATAATTGGGACTGGCACCTGGCGCCAGCAGCGAGTGCAAGTCCCGGCTGTGGGTACAAGCAGGGCCTGTGCCAGCAGTGGGTGCTAGTGGGGCTGATACTGGCAGTGGGTGCAAGAGATGGCTGCTGGCCCCAATCGCCCCTTAGGAGCAAGGGGAGGTGGAGAAGCCCTGAGGGGAGATTGGGGCCAGCAGCTGCCATTCACACCACTGATGATGCCGAGTGATCCGGGCTGGCGCCAGACACTGGCAGTGGATGCAAGTGCGAGTACAGGGCGAAACCACGGCACACTCATGGTATGTGGGAGCAAAGAATTTTCAGAGGCTCGCCCTGATGACAGTTACTGGCACTTCACCTTGGTCTGGTGTAGCCTCAGTTGCTCCACCATCCCTCCATGGCTGACACCCACCATGTTCCCTGCTCTGCTGCCTGCTACCAACATCTGCCGTGGTTCTCGCGTGCCCCCTGGTGGTCAGTGCATGTCATAGCAACCGCTTGGTCAGTTGTTCTGCCGTTTTGTCTATTTGCATATTAGGGTTTTATACATATACAAATCTAAGGGGCTTTTTACAACAGTGTCATGCAGAGTTTTTCCAGGATGTTTGTCTTATGTAACAGAGCACTTACTGCAGTGGATGAACCGTATAGCAATTTCTTTTCTCTGGTAAATAAGAAATGCTGAGGTGGGCAGTGCAGGGCTGGCGATGCATTAGAGACCCAGGTGGTTGTTGTTTTTCCCCCTGTTTTTCTGTTCATTATCATATATATATTTGGTTCAATCTTCATGTTTCTTGCCCTGTAGTCACACGGTGGTTATTCCATCTCTAACAATCATATTCCAGTCCAGAAGAAAGAGCAAAAGCCTCTATCTGCTAGGTGTGTCTCCTGTTAGAGAGAATCCCTGGGAGCGACTTCCACTTACGTCTTTTTGGATGGACTGTGTCATTACCCAAAGTCACATCACTAGCTGGGCACATTGCCACCTTCAGTACAATTTCTGATTTTTTTAACCAGTTAATTGCCACACATCCAAAATGGAAACCATTCCCACACGACACAATATTTTGTATTTAATTTAAAAAATCAATTTTCAATGACTATTATAAAAATAAATATATGACTCACAATTCGGGTGTTCTTGAATATTTTCAGTTGAAAATTCTCACGAAAAAATGATTTTTAAAGTATCTATAGATGCTTATGGCATACAGAGGATTAATAAGAAGGAAAAGAATGGATATGAAAAAGCAACTACTAATGACTGCTAAAATTTGTAAGAGTTCATTGTACATTAAAGCTATTAAGAAGCCTTTTCTACCACTTGTGTTGTATCGATATATGTGAGGGAATAATTTTTCACACAGACATTTTAAAATTTTTATAATTAAATCTGTGAGGTTTTTTTGTTGTTGTTCCTTTTTTTTTTAACTGCTCAATCAAATTTTGCTATTATTATTTAAAAGAAATGGATCAAGGATCTCAGGCTTAAGGAAAGAATCTGACTCAAAATATGTTTAAAACACTTAACTCTCTCAATGATATAAAGCACTGGTAGAGTGTTTTTACTTAAAAGTTTTAAAAAATTTTCATAACTTTAGGAAGGGTATATGCTCCAGTTATTTACAACCTCCACCACTCTCTGTTCACATGCGTATGTTAAAGGCTGGCCTTGTAGGTATTTACATTTGGACTGATGTGTATACAGTTAGGATTATTTCGATGGCTGTGGTCCATATATTAGTGTGCTTTAGTCAACTGCTTACCCATCACTGCCATCAGCTAATTGTTATTAGGTAGCAGGAAGCTTGTATCTTTCTGTTACTGAAAATGAATCAACTCATCTTCATTATCTAAAGGTCTCTTGTTGTCTGTTTGTTACAGATTAAATTATTATAATGGCAACACTTCTGTGGTTTTTGAGTATCTTAATGTATAAAACTAAATACCAACTTTTTCGCCTATATGGAAAATCAATTTGTGTCTTTTTACTGGAGTTACTTAGTGGTATGTAATGTATGAATTTAAATAAATTACTTATTTAGAAATCCTATATTTTTATTAGAATATTTGTTGATCTTCATAGTTAAAAGCTAATAATAATAGTGATAATTAAGATAATAATGCTTGTTTCTGAAGGAAAAATCTAGATAGAATATCATAACTTGTCACAAACACATTTTTAGTGTTTTTTTTTTTTTTTTTTATCTTAACAGACTTTGCTTCGCCCTCTTCGAGCTTTATGCTCTTTCCAGCTTCAGCATGGTGCTCAAATTCGCCTCAGCAAGGAACACCTTCTGAAAAATGGATTATATCCTAAGCCGATGCCAAAGAACAAACGCAAACTCAGGAAGATGGAACTGTTAATGAACAGTGTTAAAATTTAGCACAAATGGTCTTATGATGCTTTTTATGGGGTCTTCAGTTGACAATACCATCTTAAGTTTTTTTTGTTTTTTGTTTTTTTTAATTAAATTTCTTTATTGATTAAGGTATTACATATGTGTCTTTATTCCCCTATTACCCCCCACCTCCCATTCATGCTCCCAACTCCCTGTTGTCTGAGCCATCTTAAGTTTTCATACAACATAAGTCTGTGGGGTTTTTGGTTGTTTAAAGAATGAGGGTTGCATACTAAAATTGTCCAGAAGAAGGACATAAATCAAATAGCTATGAAAGTAAATAGACAAGTAAAATTAAACTGACTCAGTAAAAAGCAAGACTCTGTGCTGTATTTGCTTTTAAAAACGTGACTCTAATACATTTTTTCAAGTTCATAATTGAAATGGGATTAGTTGTTAAGCTGGGTTAGAAGTGCTTTTTTAAAATGGAAGGAAATCCTTGTGCCTGATTGGGACAGTAATGTTTCCATTACTGTTTTATAGATAATTAGTTATAGACATGTAATAAATGACACCTCCATCAATTTGCAATAGTATACATGGACTTTATAGTTTAAAATAAATATAAAAAATACCAATGATAATCAAGTAGTTTAGATTGAACTTATTTATTTCATAAAATAGTATAAAGAATAAGGAAACTAAGTATTTTTAGGGATTAAACTTGAACTCAGTTAATGTGATTAAATGTTCTATTAATGCCCATAAATTTTTTTTATTATGGTATAATTGACATAATACTAGTTTTAGGTGTAAAACATAATGATTTGATATTTGCATATTGTAAAATGGTCACTATAATACATCTTGTTAATGTTCATCACCATACATAGTTTTTTCTTGTAATGAGAACTAAGTTTTACTTTCTTTTAAAAAAAATATTTTAATTGATTTAAGAGAGGAAGAGAGAGGGAAAGAGAGTTAGAAATATCAATGATGATGATGTGCACTGAGCAGGCAGGCAGCAGTTAGGGGCAATCAGGTAGGCAGGTGAGTAGTTAGGCCTGGGTTCGGGCCTACATCGGCAGCCGGACATGCCCTGAAGGGTCCCGGGTTTTGAGAGTGAGCAGGCCAGGCTGAAGGAACCCTCCACCATGCTCCCATGCATGAGTTTTGTGCACCGGGCCTCTAGTCTATTCCATAAAACTATTAGAATTTATTAAATTACAAATTAGTTCTACAACTTGCAAAAAGAAAAAAAAAAAGAAAAGAAATATCAATGATGAGAAGGAATCATTGATCAGCTGCCTCCTGCATGCCCCGTACTGGGATCAAGCCAGCAAGCTGGGCATGTGCCCTGACTGGGAATTGAACCATGACCCTCTGGTTCACAGGTTGATGCTCAACTATTGAGCCATGCTAACTGGGCCTACTTTCTTTGCAGTTTTGAAATATTCAGTATTGTATTATTAACTACCAGAGGCCCCGTGCATGAAATTCATGCACTGGTAGGGTCCCTAGCAGCTGCAGGCTGCCAGCCTGGGCCTTCCTTTGTTCCGCGCCACCCCCTGGTGATTAGCGCACATCATAGCAAGTGATTGAATTCCTGAGGGGACACATGCATATTAGGCTTTTATATATATAGAATAGAGGCCTGGTGCATGAAATTTGTGCACTCAGAGGGGGTTGTTCCTCAGCCTGGACTGCACCCTTTCACAGTCCATGAGCCTTCATAGGAAGCGGGCCTAAGCCATCAGTCAGACATCCTTAGTGCTGCCGTGGAGGCGGGAGAGGCTCCTACCACTGCTGCTGCACTAGCCAGTCATGAGCTTGGCTTCTGGCTGAAAGGCGCTCCCCCTGCGGGAGCACACTTACCACCAGGGGACAACTTCTGCATTGATCATCTGTCTCCTAGTGTTCAGTGCGTGCCATAGGTCATTCTGCTGTTTGGTCGATTTGCATATTAGCCTTTTATTATAAGGATAATGTCTTATTATGGGCAAGGCCTCTAATTCAATTTTTTTTAGGTAGTTAAAGGGAGGGGCAGAATTTTCACTTGAGCCTGAAGCTAAAATTGCCCTTAGCTCAAAACTCTGCATACCACTGAGACACATCTTGGTGAGGCTCATTCTGAATCCCCACATTGTTCTATTGCATATTGGGAACCATCTTATCTCTTTAGTGAAAGGAACCTTTTGTTATGTTACAATGACTAACTTTATCTCATGAGTTGTGTTTTGGCTTCAAGCCTGTATCCAGTATTTATGCAGCAACTTCAGCTCTTCTGTTCAACATTTACCTGGTTTGTCTTTTATTTTCTTTTCTCTAAATCTCTCTAGATTTTTTATGTATTAGATAGGAATAGCCCATGGACACAGTAGTCTGGCAAAGGCCTGGAAGGGGCAGATTCAGGGTGGAGGAGATCAATGGGAAAAAAAACAAAACTAAAAGAAAGGGACATCTGTAATACTTTCAACAATAAAGATACATTTTAAATAAAGGGAAATAATTGAAAAGAGTTTTATGTGAAATAATATAAGTAATTTCTCTACACTGTACTTTATATTATCAGCTCATCTCAAAGAGGTACTAATTGACCCTATTTCACTGACTAGAGGACTGACTTCTGCCACACCAACCCAGCACTGACTGCAGGGCTGATTTCGGGTGGTCAGTCTAGCCTTCAGTCATTTTAGATGTTATGGACCCTGGCTCTTTATATATAGAGAAAATCATCAAACTGTACATTATATCCCCACGACTTATTTATGTTTTAACTGGATGTTTTTACCTTTTGATCTTCTTCACCTATTTTGCCCCTAATCCCCCCCCCCTTCAAAAACAAACAAACAAAAAAACCACACAAAACTTCATCTGTGGCAACTACCATTCTCTGTATCTATTAACTTGTTTTTATGATTCCAAATATGAATAATATCATGTGGAATTTGTCTTTATCTGCATTTCCCTGATGATTAGTGATAATGGGTAAAGCAAAACCCAACTGCTTGCATTTTATAAGAAGTACCAGGCATTATTTTTTAAAGCTAATCCAAGGATATATTTTACTGACTTTAGAGAGAGGATGAGGAGAGAAAGAAACATCGACATATGATAAAAACATCAGTCCGCTTCCTCCCATATGTGACCCCACCGGGGATTGGACTCACACTCTAGATATGTGTCCTGGCCAGGAATTGCACTGAACCTTTTGGTGCATGGGATGATGCTCTAACCAACTGACCCCGCCAGGGCAGCACCAGGTATTTTAAATACTATAAAGACAAGGTTAAAAGGAAGAGGATGGAAAAAAAAAAAAACAAAAAAAAAAACAATGTAGACCTTGACTTTCTTCAAATTCTAATCCTTTTTATTATTCATTAAATAAATATAAGTTTATCACCTAGTAGGTGTCAGGTATTGTTATTAGTAAGTTAAAAAAAAAAAAATCTAGCTACTTGGATTTTCCAACATTTTGGATTCTAGATAGGAAAATCTGATAATGTTAGGATATTTTCAAATAAATACTTGTTCCTAAAAACAACATGTTCTTAAAGGGAAAAAAAGCCAATTGTACAACCTGACTGTTCAGTTAATTCTCTTTTTGTAGTTTAAATGTCTGCCAGGAAAAAATAGAATACTTTTAATCTTAGAGGTAGGCATCAGTAAGCTTTAGTAAATCCTTTAATCCTGTCTGGATCTTTATAAGGAAGCATACAACAGTAATATTTTAAATATACTTGTTTGATTAAAATATTTGTCTCAATTCTTGTGATCTAGTCACTAATTCCTTAATTTACCTCTTTAGAAATCATGTCACATCCACTTCTTTTTTGAATGAAGAATGGAATCTGATTTTTCCTCTTGAGCCCAGGATGTTGCTCTCAACATGTGGTGAATCCCTGTCAGAAGTGAATAAAAGCTTCATTAGATGATTCTTATAAAGAAAATTAATTTTCCTTTCTTAACCTACTTCACTTTATCATCATCTGAGTATAACTCAGAAAAAGGATTGTAATATTTGTTGACAGCGCTTTCCTGCCAAGAGGTTGCTCCAGTTAACTTGCTGATTTTTACAGGAAAATGCCTTGTCTAGTCTACAATTCAAGTAAGGCAGTGGCCAGGGATTGGACTGAGTAGTGATTTCAGTGAGGAAATCATGTTGGGACCAAAGTATTCTATGTAAAATGTATGATATTCTTAATGCTCATATTTAATATTTAATAAATCCAGTCCTGAAGGATAGTCTTTGAAATGCAAGTTCAGTTGCATGACTGGCATTTCTGTGTGCCACAATTAGAACTGTCAAAATGATCTCTTAAAATAGGGCCAGAAGGAGTTTGAGTGCTTGTTGTCTGGAGTTGTACCAGCATTACTTGAGATGAATACAGAGTTTCCTCAAAACATGAAGGAAGAAAAAATGCTTTCTGGTTGTAAGTGCTAGAATATGTTCAGTAAGGAAGTGAACATATTTTTTCAAGGCTAATAAGATCTTTTTCACTAATTATATAGATATTTGTGAATAAGCAGGCATAGCCAAAAATATCTTTGAAGAAACACATAGATAAATATTTCTGAAATTAATTTATAGAATAAAGAGGCCTCAGATATATCCTTTTAATATGGAAAAGAAAGTTGAGTGATGTATGAAGAATCCTAAAATAATCATATATTTGACAACTACTTTTTAGATATTCTTTGTTAAAAAATGTATTGTTGAATGTATTACAGTATGATTACATAAGAACTTTAATATTCAGTGTTTGTATTATTAAGGCAGTGGACTGGTTGCCTTCTAGATGTGAGGCATAGTTATTTTCCTTTGGCTTTTCTTCACCATTTTAGAATTCTCTTTGCCTCTTTTTTTGTTGTTGTTGTTGTTGGTTTCCTACTTTGTTGTGTTTAATGTCTTCCTTTTTCTTGCTTTTCTCCCTCACTTTGGTGGATCCCATTGTCCAGTGGCTTCCTGATAAAAGGCATGTGGGAGAAAAGCTTTCTTGGAAGAACTTGCATGTCTGAAAATGCCTTGATTGATAGTTTTGATGAGGATAGTATTATAGTTTTTTTACTTTTTTAAAAATGAGATTTTTTCTCTTTTTAAATATTATTTTTAAATCCTCACCCAAGGATATTTTTCTATTGATTTTTAGAGAGAGTGGAAGAGAAAGGGAGAGGCAGAGAGATACATCGATGTGAGAGAGACACATTGACTGGTTGCCTCCTGCACATGCCCAATCAGGGCCAGGGAGAAGCCTGCAACCGAGGTGTGTGCCCTTGACTGGAATGGAATCCAGGACCCTTCAGTTTATAGGCCAATGCCCTATCCACTGAGCCAAACCAACCTGGGTAAATTTTTTTTTTTTTTTTTAAATAAGGCATTGTTTCATCTACTTTTAACTTTCAGAGATTCTATCAAGAAATCTAATGCCATGTTGATTCCTGCGTCTTTGTTTCTCTCTGGAAACTTTTATAAATGCTCACTTTTCCTCCAGTGATCCTAAATTTTAGGATGATGTGTCTTATTGTTGTACCTTATTGTTACTCTATCTTCATTTATTTTTTATTATTTTTTAATATATTTTATTAATTTTTTTTTTTACAGAGAGGAAGGGAGAGAGATAGAGAGCTAGAAACGTCGATGAGAGAGAAACATCGACCAGCTGCCTCCTGCACACCCCCTACCGGGGATGTGCCCGCAACCAAAGTACATGCCCCTGACCGGAATCGAACCTGGGACCTTTCAGTCCGCAGACCGATGCTCTACCGCGAGCCAAACCGGTTTTGGCTATCTTCATTTATTGTACAGAGCACTTGGTGGTTCCTTATAATCTGGATACCCCTTCAGTTTTGAAAACTTCTTTCTTGTCTTATTTTTGTTTTAGTTCCCTTTCTTTCCTCTGTTCTCTTTTTATAGAACTCCCATTAGTTATATATGTGAACTTCCATATTAA